CTCCTCACCTCATCTCCAGGCGGATCCGCGCTGCCGCCCGGGGACAAATCAGCGCAGCTCACTCGCCGCGGGGAGGGACGCAGGAGCCGCAGCCCTGCACACCATCCCCGCCCGCCTCTCCGTGCGTCCCCGAGCCCGCTCGGGATTCTCCCTCGCGAGCCGCCGTACTACGGAGCAACCAAGCTGCGCTCCCTCCGCTCCGCTCCGCTCTTCTCTACCTCCTTCGCTCCCTCCCTCACTCCCTCGCTCCCGCCTATCTCCTCATCTCCTCCGACTGCCTCCCCCGCCCCCATCCACGCCTCCGTCTCCGCCCACAGGCGGGTGGGGACAAACTGCCTGCCAATCGGAAGGAGGGGCCCTCACCTTCTCTCCGCCCCTACCTCTGGCCCCGCCCACCGCGCGGCCGAGAGGAGGCGGAGCCAATCAAAATGGAAGGCGAGGGAGTGACAGCCGAATAAACCAATAAGCAAGGGCAAAGGGGGGGCGGGAGTGGGAAATCTTCCTCCCCGCCCCTTTCCCAGAAGGCGTAACCAGAGGCTTCTATTCAGGGGTGTCCCTGACCGGGCTTGTGGAAATTTTGTTCCACGGTTTTACTGCGTCTGTCCGTCGCCGTGCGAGGCACTAGTTAGGATGCATTGAACTCACTTAGTTACAGGAGGTTTTAAAGGAGAGAACAATGTGGAAGCGAAAAGGGAGGCGGGTAACAGTCCAAGGAAGGTAGTAGGGGGATACGCTGGAATGAGGAAGGGTGCGGTCTTGAACTGAAATTTGCGTAAAACGGAACCTATTGGCGACTACCACTTCGCCTATTTATTGGTAGCCCTTGGTGCGGCCCGCCGAGCAGAGCATGCCGGGAGATGCAGTTCTGAGTTCGGTTGCTATGGCGTTTTCTACAGCCTCGGGGAGTCCAGGAGTGACGGGCGGCCTGACCAATGGGAGCAGCGTCTGGGCCAGAGGGGGTGGGCTCTCTGCAAGAGGATTCGAAGGTGGCGGTGGCGAAGGCGCAGGCCGTTGGGGCCTGTCGGAGGCAGGTGAGCTCAGGGAAGCGCGTTGTGTGTCTTGGGAAACGGGGCTTTGGGCTAAAGGTAGAGAGACACCCTGCGAAACCGTCCAGCCCTGGGGCAGATGGTGGTTCGCATCCCACCCCAACCTCAGAGCCGCTCGGGCCTAGGCCTAGCTTGACCGAGGCCGCTGAGGGGCGGGTAAGACGACTGCACGATTTCCTGGTCCTTAGAGGTTTGGATTGTAGGTTTTATCTCAGTTTGCATCTCCCTCCACATTTATGGAGGCAAAAGTCTGGAAGTTCCCTTACACTGAATCTCCCAGCTTGGATCCGCTCTCCCCATGCCGCTTCTTTTTGTTCCTATAATTCGAGTTTCTTTTTTCTTGCTTCCTTATCCCTTCTCTGCCACCTCTTCCTTCACTTGCCTCTTTCGGTGAGTGTTACCTAAAGCAAAGGTATTCGCATTTATGTGACTGCAGGGCCAGCTTCGCCCTCTTCGTTAAGCTGAACAGGGAATACTCTGGAGCAATGCGTCAGAATCACCTTAGACTCAAGTTGGAGTGCAGATGCCGATTCTGTAGGTCTGGACCCGGGCCTGAGAATCTGCATTTCTAACAAGCTCCCAGGTGCTGCTAGTGCACGTTGAGTGGCAAGGTTCCACATCAGCTTTGTCCAATACAAATATAATGCGAGCCACTTAGGTAATTTTAAATTTTCTGGTAGCCACATTAAAAAAAAACATGAAATACGTGACATTATTTTAATAATATGTTTCATTTAACCCAGTATATCCAAAATATTATCATTTCAAACATAATCAAATATTTAAAAATTGAGATATTATACATTCTTTTTTTTCGTCTTACATCTTCGAAAGCTGATGTGTATTTTGCACTTACAGCACATCTCAGTTCCGACTAGGACACAGTTCAAGTGCTCCTTAGCCACCTGTGGCTGGTGGCTACTGTTACTGGACAGCGCAGATGCAGATGATATAATAACCCACTGCAGACATTAAAAGGTGTTAAAGCTTAGGTGGCGCCTGCCCAAACCCTTTGCTGCCTAGTGAGGTGGATTTTGCAACTACGGTAGAGGTGCTCTGCCCAGTTTACAGAAATAGCAGGAAAAATAGCCAACATTTATTGAACCGGTATTTTATGCCAGGTGTTGTACTGAGTGCTTTGCATGTATTATTTACGCCTTAGAGCAACCCTTTGAGGTAACTACTGTTATTATCTCTATTTTATAGATATGGAATCTAAGGCCCATAAGGTTAAAATTAAGTAGCACAAAGTCATACACCGAATAAGTAGGACAGCCAGGATTCAAACCGGGGGCAGTTATGACTTCCAAATCCTATCCATCAACCACTGAAGTGTATACTTACTACCTTTTATCACTAATTGCACTTTGTTGATGCCTCTGCTCTAGCTTATGGCAGGGGATAAAATATTTGAAATTTCAAATTTTTCAAATTTCAAATTTGAAATAGAGAGACTTCCCCTTAGGAGGTCAAGTTGCCTGTCAGTTGCAGTGAAAATATTTTGGTAGTTTTACAATGTTCTGTGCTGTGTATTCAAAATCAAAGTTCTGGACTGAGGAAGAGTGTTCAAAACCTCAAGATATTTAGGCCTCTGGACCAGTACTATACCCTGGGCAGTAATGTGTCTTGATTCATTTGTGTACCCCTCTGAAGAAGGAAGATGGGAAAGCTCGGGAATTCTTGAAATATTTCACTGTTTTGGTTTTGTTTGTGGTGAAATCTTTTTTTTAATTCTTAAAAATGAATGTTTTCTTGCTCCTGTCAACTTCACATAGAATATTTCAAAGACAACTTGATGATTTTTCTAGACCCAATGAACGGTACTACATCGAGCTAAGGAGAGTTTTATGAGTAGAAGAGCAAAAATACACATATCCACACATGCTAAAATATGATATTTTGCAAAATAATTTTCTTCTCTTTTTATACATTGTAATAAATGTGATACATTATGAATTATTTTCTCTTCATTGTGAACTTATTAGTAAATATTTAATCAAGATTACAATTCCTATTTTGCATCTGAAGCAAGAAATGGTTTCTTTAAGATCCTAGAGTGAACTGGAAAATAAATAAGCATTTACAAACTGCAATAATGTTAGTTGGTGGAAAAGAAGATCAGGTGAATCAATTGGAGAGGAGAGAGTGTGGTAGAGATTTAGGGAGGATCCCTCGATTGCTTATCTCCCTCATCACCACCTGCATTGTCCCAGTGTCACGTGATTAAGCCAGCATAAAGGGAAGACAGTAATTCATCATACCACTGGCTCCATTGTTCCCCAGTAGTACAATATGGGAAAATAGCACGCTAATTCAGAAATGAAAATGAGAGTTAAGTTTCATTATTCTGGATCTTACTATATTAAATGGCCCTGCATTGAATAGTAACTGGACCAAAGATTTGCAGTCTATGAAATGATGACCATTCCACCTCCCCAACCTACCCACTACCCACCCCCTAGAGGTACTGGCCTTGGAGTGCCTCTAGTAAGAACTCTTAAATGAAAATTTATTTTGTAACTCAACAAATAGTAAAAGTTAAGCTCTCTTGGATGTGGGAGAGTTAATCAAAAATTCTTTTGAGATTCAAAAGAGGTCATTGTTGGGAGCCAGTGTTCTAGACAGACCCATGATGGAAACCACTTGTTGCATAGATAGGCGACAATTTGACATCTCCAAACAAATGCCTTTTTTTTTACTTCGGCCTAAAGCCTATATCAAAAAGAAAAAATTTCTTTCCCTAGTTCTTCACCAGTCTTTAGATCTCAGATTGCGTGAGATGTAAAGATTACGCCACACTTGTGTGTAAATTTAATCAAGTATATCTTGATAATATTCACGGAAGTCTAGATTGTCATAATTAGAGGAGGCTTTAATATGGTCGTCACATCCCCCATCCCCTTCAAGTGATGCTTGAATCCCCTTTATGAAGCGACTGTAAGTGTGTATCCAGCCTGTTTAAATCCTTCTAGTGACAGAGACCTGCAACTTCCTGCGTTTTCCTAAGTTTCAAATTAGATACCTAAAATGTGAAAATAGAAGGTTCTTATAACACGTTATAAGCTAGAAATGCTTTCCGGGGTTTAGCCAGGTGAGCCACTATCACAGTGTCTCCTATGCCCGTGTTGTAACGAGTTATGTGTAGCAGGTGCAGTTGTATGCAGCAAAACACCTGTGTACTCATTGCTTATGCAAAGTGTCCTTAGAGCATACAGATTTCTAGAGACTGTCCCCTCCACGATGTAGAGACGTCCTCCAATTGTTATGACCGTGCATTCACCTCCCTCTTTAAGAAGCAGGGCTGGCCTGTCTAGTTAGGAGTACCATTCTCCACAACCTGCAAAGTATAGTATTTGAACCAAACCTCAAGCTAGCTACTTTGATTATGCTGGCCATGTTTTTTAACCAAATATTTGGGCTTGTGGTTTGACATACTTCTTTATCTGATGTGTGGATATGTATGAAGGGTCTCACAGATGAGTAAGAACGTTGTTAAAACTTAATATAAAGTCGCCTCTTCAATATAACTGAAGATTTAGCCCTTACAATCCAGCCAGCTAATATCATAATGCAGTCCTGGCGTAGTGATGAGCATATGGGGCCACATTTCAGAGTTGACTTCATCTATTTTTTCTGTAGCCTCACTGCTTTCCTTATATATCTATACTTTCCTTAAAATAAAAATGCAGGTGGGTTAGAAACATTATAACTGAATCCTGAACCCAAAGTGGCCACGTATTGCAAAGTTTGTGTTGGGGGATAATAGACAATTGAACATATGAGAAGAGTTTGGACTTTCAGAAATTGAGTTGTCCGTAGCGTAACAGATGGATTGGATGAGGGAAAGAAATGCAGCCATTCAGCAACCTGTGGCCACAGCCCAGGCCTGAGGCATTGCGATGTTAGCACATCCCTTGTGCTAACACCCATCAACACCAAAAAATGAGCAGGTGAGCCAGGACATCATAAAGGAAAAGGAAGCTTTATGGTCAATAACTTGATACAGAGGAAGGAATTATGATGGGCTCTAAGATAACCTTGATGACTGAAGATTGTTATAGCAAAACCTTGTTTTGGGGAGAGATGAGTCCAATTTTATATCTGTTGAATTTGAGGTTGATCTGATATTCAGAACGCTTTTGGTCTGAAAGTGTAGATATGGAATGATCTGTAGAGGTTTTATTTACAATTATTAATAGGTCAGCTCCTTGGGGGATTAAGTGTAGCAGGAAAAGAGCAGGTGGAGTTCATGTCACTGTTATAACTAAAATGAAACCATGTGAAATTTCTTCCCATTGATTTTTTAGAAATTCCTTAAGAGATCAGTACTTTTAACTACTTCCTTGGTGTTATTTATAGTCAAGTGTTTAATTTATGCAAAGTCTTCTGCTTTGTACCAAAAATTATTATAAATAGATGTCTTAATTTTTGTTTCTCCAGATTTTTTAATAGGTTTAATGTTGACCATTATGAAAATTTAAAGTATTACACACATAATCCTCAATTTGTGGACTTATGTCAAATATATTTAAAATCTGATATACCTGGGAAAATATAAAATCTTTATACTTTTTATAGGCCTATCAGCCTACATTTTTAAACAGGTTTATTTTCATTTAAGAGTTTTATCTAGCGCTTTTTTGATAAAGGAAAGTTTACAGTAGAACATATATAATTTTGAAGTTACTTGATGTTCATTCTTTGAAATGGCATGATAAGCTAAATATTTAATTTCTATTTTTATTTTATAAGTTGTTCAGTTATTTTATTTCCTGTGTGCAAATATCTTTACATTCAATAAAAATTTTATTAAATAATGGACTAAGTGTTCCATTTAATTTGGACCAGTGCCTAAGAAACTCTGTGGTCCTTGAATACCATTCATTCTACCATTTTCTTATTGTTAAGGACTCAGTATTCCTTTTTTGGGTTTGCCGAACAAATAATATTTCCTCAATTTTCTTTTGACCGGTTTTGTAAAAACCCTTCTCATTCCTCACTTGATAACGTTGAGGATATTTTTGTTCCCACGTGGTTCTTATTAGATCAACTAAACATTACTTTTTTCTACCAGCCAGGCCAATTTTAACCTAAAATTTGGAGGAACTCTTTAGGATGATCTGATAAAAATATTGGTATTATTATGTATATAGTATTTGCTTTAGGGCACACTAGGAGTACAAACAAGCAGTTATCTTGAAATTGGGGTGCATGCAGTATAAGGTCCATGTGATTGCTGATCTGGGAGACATGCCGAATGTTTTAAGATGCAATGGGCAGAGAAAACGGTGGCTTCCAGAATTACAAAGGGAGATACTTTGAAATCAAGGTGTTGCTATGTAAATGTTCCATTTCTTGAAATAGCAACTCTAGTAGCTCCAGACTGAGTACGAGCAGAGATTTGTTTATTTAATAATAATAGATATTGATTCTCCCAAGCAATAGCTGGGAAGACCCACTAGTTAGTAAGTGAATACAGCAACGTTTTGTTTGTTAGTATGTCACAAAATCTCGAAGCATGGAACAGATGGAGTAGATGGAGCGTCTCTGGGGGTGATTTCCAAGAGCGAGTAGGACTTGAGCTTTATTTACTCCACAGAATCTGTAGATTAAGTACAGCACAGTCTTAGAGAACAAGCAATGCCTGGAAGCCCTGAGACATATGGTGTGAAGTCATACTGACTCGATCAGACAGAGGGTATGTGTTGGGAAAATGGGGAAGTAAGGTAGACTAGGGACAGTGGGGGTGCATTTCAGCCAGCCTTGAAAACTAAGCAGAGAGGTTAGATTTAATGTCATCGGGACTACATAGTTGCTGTGTCTATGGTTAGGTTCTTTCCCTCTCCCCTGCCACCCCAACAAACACGTTGACACACACACACAAAGACCTTCTGTAACCAAGGGTTAGAATTAATTTAATCTGGGCCGGCCCCGTGGCTTAGCGGTTAAGTGCACACGCTCCGCTACTGGCGGCCCGGGTTCGGATCCCGGGCGCGCACCAATGCACCACTTCTCTGGCCAAGCTGAGGCCACGTCCCACATACAGCAACTAGAAGGGTATGCAACTATTACATACAACTATCTACTGGGGCTTTGGAGGAAAAAAAAAAGGAGGATTGGCAATAGATGTTAGCTCAGAGCCGCTCTTCCTCAGCGAAAAGAGGAGAATTAGCATGGATGTTAGCTCAGGGCTGATTTTCCTCATTAAAAAAAAAAAAAAAAAGAATTAATTTAATCATCTGACTTATTTCACCCTGTTTTTATATACTTTGTTGACACATACTACATACATAATTTCTATGTATGTCTTGAACGTGTATTCATTTCTATTAGTTCCAGCATTTGATTATCACATTCTAGAAAGCAGCAACCATTGCTGAACTAACTCAGTAAAAACCCTTTATGTGGATCCATTAGATATACTAAGATTCAACACACGGGCCAGCTTCATGGGCGTGGGACCTATGCAGTCACACTGGACCTCATGCTCAGAAGGGACCTGTACTTGCTTTAATGCTCTGCTGTCACCGTCTTGAAATTAATAATTTCTCGACAAGGTTCCTCACATTTTCCTTTTGCAATGAGCCCTGCAAATTATGTAGCCAGTTCTATGAACAAGTACTTAATAATTATCAATGCTAAACTAAAGGATATAGGATTCTGGTTTTAAGTAATATATCTAATGTTAGTAGCTCAATAGAAAACCATTAAATGTAGTGGTTAAGAGAAATGACTTTGGGGTTGGTAGCACCTGGATTGTCCCAGCTCTGGCCCAGCTGGTGCTATGAGACGCCAGTTGTGTGCCTGAACCTCTGTAAGACTCAGTTTCCTCGTCCATAAAATAAATTCAATAATAGTACTTTCACCAAAAATTGTATACAAGAATGTTCTTAGCAGGATAATTTGTAAAAGCCCCAAACTGAAAACAATCAATGTCTATCTATAGTAAAATGGATAAATAGTAAATTATTCATTCAGTGGAATACTATCTAACAGAGAGTATGCATGAACTACAACTACAAGCAACAACATGGGTGAAACTTGGAAACATGATATTGAGAGAAAGAAACCAGACATAAAGAAAAATAATTTCATTTATGTAAAGTCAAAAACAGACGAAACTAATCTGTGCTGTTGAAACTGGGAGTATTGAGTATCCTTAGGAGTGGGAGGTAGTAACTAGAAGGGGAATGAGGGAGCTTCTGGATTTCTAGTGATTTTGTGTTTCATGCTGTGACATGACCATATTCATTTCGTAAAATTTAGCAAGCTATGCACTTAGCATCTGTGTACTTTTCTATGTTTATTTTATACTTCTATAAAATTTACTTTAAAAAATAGTCTTGCCATACAGTTACTATGAAAAATAAACAACTGTGGAATCCTTAGAGATGCTTCAAGAAGTCCAGAGAACACAGGTTTAAATACTTCCATTGAATGGTTTATAGACTGATGTAGAAGAATTAGGGACGCAGTTTCAATGAGTGTCTTGACTGCCCACTTTTAAGACTTTGAAAGCCCTTTAAATGATACCTTTGGTAAATAAAGTTGAACTTTTCTGTCCCTCATAGTTTTTTTTTCAAGTACATCTGATAATTTTCATTGAATAGCAAAGTGAAATTAAGCACATGCTTACCTGCTTGGTAGTAGTGAAAGGCTGAACTGTAAACTCCTCAGTAAGACATGTACCCAGAGATTGTTGTGTATTATCTTATTTGATCACTTTCAAGAACTATTATCTAAATTTATTTATTTGAAGACTACATTTATAGTTGTCATTTTATCCTTTGCCAGCACTCTTTTCCAATTTTTGCTTTCGTTTAGTTTGGAAGACATTTTATTGGTTTATTTCATGTATTTTTTTTTTTTTAGGTGACTATGAAAGGCTTATATTTTCAACAGAGTTCTACAAATGAAGAAATAACATTTGTATTTCAAGAAAGAGTAAGAAAAATTGTTTAATTATTAAATGAAACAAGATAGTATATTTCCCTATATAATGGACCCAGTTTTAAATGACCTCTTACAAGTTATTTTGAGTCGAACTAAATGAGTGAAAATTACTTAAATGAAACTCTTCAAATTACTTTCCTTTAATTTTTATGTGAAAATAGTGGTCTGTATTGTAGTACAACTATATTTTCAAAAGACTTGCTACAGAACAGTTTTTAGTTCCTCCAGGTGGTGGTGTGAAAGATATTAGGAAAAGAGAACAACCTTATTAGTAGTCTTATATGTTGCAAAATTAACCCAACTTATTCTGAATGCCACAATAAAGTGAGTTTTTAGATTGTAGCCATATTTCAGAAAATACTCTCTCATATTGTGAAAGGAAAGAGGTGGAAAAGCATTGTTTTGCACACTAATTTCTGAGCTTTGCAAAGTTACCTTGTTCACTAAGCTTTAAATGATCTCTAGTTTTTGACGACTTTAACAACAGATAGAATTTTCATGTATTAGTGATTGCTTGAAAGGTTTGTGGTAAGCCAAAATCATTCCACTGTAAATTGAGGGAGGAAAACTAAGTTCTATAAGTATTTCATAGTAGTATATTTCCTGGTAGTAATAAGAATTTCTGGACCGTGAACACAATCCAGTTTTGCTCTGTTATCTTTCACTAACTCCAAAATCACTTAGATCGGGAGTCTAAATCTCAGACAGCTTGGCTTCTACGATTGGGTCAGGATGAAGGTTTGTTTGGCTTTCAGGAAGAATTGTCTCCAGGTTCACACAATCAGGAGTAAAGTCCACAAATTCGTCTATGTTATTGAATATCTTCATAATATCACCAAATATTATCAAATCTGAGATTTAAAAAGAGATGCTCCCAGGATATTGTGTTCATCTCAAATAAAACTCAGTGATACCTTTGATAGGCCATAGGAGGGGCTATGCCAGTAACTATTTTTAGCCAGCTTTTGGATCTAATTTTTGGATATATCAGGAGTCAAGGAGAGTATTTTAATTATTGGTGCCAGGATATGGTTATTTGGGAGAGGTGATTTTATATTTAATAATATGAGTGAATGACATCGAGTGCCTGAGTGTGAAACATTTTTTGCCTTTGAAGTTATATGGAATAGGAGGAGAACTTGAGGTTATGTGAAATAGTTATGTGGAATTGTTTTATTAAGTTTGTATTTTGACCCCAGAATCCCATGAGGCTTGTTGAAATGTTCAAGACAGATGTTAAATAAGGTAATGTTAAGTAAGAGATAACAAGTGACACTAAAGAACTTCATTTTTGGGGGCCAGCCTGGTGGCATAGTGGTTAAGTTCACACGCTGCACTTTGGCTGCCCAGGGTTCGTGGGTTCAGGTCCCAGGCGCAGACCTACACACCACTCATCAAAGCCATGCTGTGGTGGCATCGCACATACAAAATAGAGGAAGTTTGGCACACATGTTAGCTCAGCGACAATCTTCCTCAAACAAAGAGGGGAAGATTGGCAACAGATGTTAGCTCAGGGCCAATCTTCCTCACCAAAAGGGAAAAAAAAAAAAAAAAACACCAAATTTATTTTTAGCATTAAGAACATTCCAAAATCAGCAAAGGCTGTATGTTATGTGTATAAGGATATCCCTGTAAGTGTGAAAGTTCAATGCTTTGAGATTATTTAGATTGAAATAAAGTACGGTATTTGCCGCTCTACGTTGTCATCCTAAATTTATTGTCTACACGTATATCCATGTTGATATCTGAGTATATTTTCAAAATATGTACCCTAAGGCTTTTTAAAAATTTTACCCCAAAATGCGCTTTATTCTTTTTTGATTATATTTTATTGGATAATTACTTGTAGCTTTTTCAAGTGCGTTAGCTATAAGATTTGGGATATGTTCAGTTTTTCTCAATTACATATGAAAATTTTCACAACATAAAGGCATGTTCTCAAAGGAGTGTGTAATTATTTTGTCATTTGGTTCTAGGAAAATCTTCCTGTTACAGAGGATAACTATGTGAAACTTCAAGTTAAAGCTTGTGGTCTGAGCCAGATAAATACAAAGGTATTGGTGCTTTTATTTTGGCCAAAAGTCAAATGAGAATTTCATAGTATATTTAGTGTGCAAATATATTATAATGATAACTGACTTCTGAGTGCTAGGAAATTATTAACATCCCTAGAAGAATAGAAAAGCTAGGGAAAAAATTTAATGTGTATTTCTACATTAAGGGAAATTATTAGTCTAATTGAAGTCATTTTTTATATTACTATATGAAAATATTTTATAAACTCTACATTGTGAAGGGTTGAGAATTTATGATTACTAAAGCCTGTAGTCGAAGAAGAAATTACCTTTATAAATATAGTACAAGTAGAAACTGGAAACCTAATCAACTGATTTATTAACTATCTACTCTGTAGATATTTCTAGTTAATGTCTTGAGATAGAGTTCCTATTGTTCTTGTTGTTTCTTTTTGTCTTTCTCTCATACACACATCCCCAACCTCACACTACCCCACAGTAATCTTGCATTATTGACCCTGAAAAGATTTTTAAAGATTTAAAAGATTTTTAAAGATTAATACCATAGTTTCACTGGACCCTTACCTATTGGATTATAATTCACCATAGTTTCTAGGAATCTAAAAGTTTTCTGCAATAAAATCACATTGAAGAAAATTACAAAACAAGCTTATGGGCTTCTATTGGGCAACTCTGTAACATGAGCATGACTTGAGAAGTGAATTAGTGAGATACCCTGAAGTTCTTTCACCAGGAATACTAGTGCTACTCCTTGTCTGCCAAGTTCTGTGTTCAGCCCTTCCAAGGTGTTCTTTTTAAAACTACGAAAAATCCATTAAAATCCCAGTCTAAGAAATTATATCCGTGAAAGAAATGGTAAGTGATAGTAAAAATCAATTTAATGAAATATAATAGTTAATTGAAAACTGTGTAGTAATGCAAGAAAATCCTTGAATAAGTGAAGGATGCAGGATACAACTGGCATAACCATGATTATAGCTCTGTAAAAGTGTGCATAAAAAGAAACACCGAAAACTATAAAACATTTCTGAAAGAAATTGAAGAAGACACAAAGAAATGGAAAGATATTCCGTGCTCTTGGATTGGAAGAATTAACATAGTT